TCCTCAAGCATGATGTTCTTTTCCAAGGACTGGTCCCTTTTGACAACATGTCCAAAGGATGAGAGACGAAGTCTCGCCATAGTTGTTTTTAAGGAGCATTCTAGCTATATTTCTTCCAACAAAGAAATGTTTTCTTTTGGCAGTCTGTGACACTTCTGAGTATTCTTTGCTGACACCATAATTTGTATATATTGTCTAACTTCCGTATTCATTGTCTTAACTTCCACAGACATATGAGGTGACTGAAAATACCATGTCTTGGGTCAGGTGCCCCTTAGTTCTCAAAGTGAGATCTTTGCTCTTGTGCAGCACATCTGCCTAGTGTATGTGACACCTCATTTGACTTCTTGACTGCTGCTTCCAGAGTGTTGATTATGGATCCAAACAAGATGAAGTCTTTGACAATGTCAGTCTTATCTCCATTTATCATGATGTTGTTTATTGGTCCAGTGGTGAAGATTTTTGTTTTATTTACATTGATCTGCAATCCATACTGAAGACTGTGGTCTTTGATCTTCATCAGTAAGTATCCTAAGTATTGTAAGTACTTTTTGCTTCCAGCAAGCATGGTTATGTCATCTGCATATCAAAGGTTTTTAATGTTGTTGTTAGGTCCTTCAATACTGATGGTACAATCTTCTTCATCAAATCCAGCTTGACTAATTTCTCAGCACACAGATTGAGTAAATAGGGTGAAAAGATACAACCCTGGCATCTTTCCTGATTTAAAATCATTCAATATCCCCTTGTTCTGTTGTAACAGCTGCTTCTTGGGCCCTCACAAGCACAGTTAAGTGTTCTGGAATACCCATTCTTCCCAGTGTTATCCATAGTTTGTTGTGATCCACACAGTTCAGTGCCTTTGCATAGTCAATAAACCACAAGAAAACCCTTCCTGGTATTCTCTGCTTGCAGCCAGAATACATATGACATCAGTAATGATATCCACCCTAGTTTCACATCCTCTTCTGGAAGTTCCCTGTTGAGACACATCTAAAACCATTTTTAAATTATGTTGAATAAAATTTTACTTGCATGTGATGTAATATTGTTTGATAATTCCTGCATTCCGTTGGGTCATCTCTCTTTGGAATGGGCACAAATATGGATCTCTTCCAGTCAGTTGGCCAGGTAGCGGTCTTCCAAAGTTCTTGGCAGAGATGAGTGAGTGCCTCCAGTGCTGCATCAGTTTGTTGAAAGATTTCAATTTGTATTCCATCAATTCCTGGAGAGCCTTGTTTTTTGCCAATGTCTTCAATGCAGCTTGGACGTGTTCCTTCTGTGTCCTGGAGCCTTGATCATATGCTGCCTCTTGAAATGGTTGAACATAGACCTGCTCTTTTTGGTACAGCAGCTCTGTGTATTCTTTCCATTTTTTTTTTGATACTTCCTGCGTCACTCAATAGTTGCCCATGTTACTGTTTTTGTTAAGCACTGTCCAGTCGGTTCTAATTCATGTCAGCTCTGTATAGAGTTTCTGAGGCTGTCTATCTTTGTGGGGAATCTTTGTAGTTGCAACTCAGTAAGATAAGCACTGGACCTCAAGGTGGTTTGAACTGCAAGGACAGCTGGTCAAACTCACCAGATGCTCCTCACAAACCCTATACAGTGTCGCTCTGACTCAGTGGCACTTGGTGGGAACAAAAATCTCATCTTTCTCCTGCGGTGTGCTTGGTGGGCTCAAACTGCCAACCTTGTGGTTGTCAGTCCAGTGCTTATCCTATAGAACCAGCACACTTCTATTTTGCCCATACAATCCTGCAATCTTGTAACCAGAGACTTGGCTCTTTTTTCTGTAGTTCCGTCAGCTTGAGAAATCGGAGCATATTCTTCCCTTTGGGTGTTTGACTCCAGATCTTTGCTCATTTCATTATAATGTTCTTGTCGTTATTTGTTGTCGAATCAGCTCCAGCTCATAGTGACCATGTACACAGCAGAACAAAACACTGCCCAACCCTGGCCATCCTCACAATCATTGTGACATTTGAGTCCATTGCTGTCACTACCAAGCCATCTTACTGGGGGGCTTTTCTCTCTTTCACTGACCTCCACTTTACCAAGTATGATGGACTTCTCCAGGGACTGGTCTCCCTTGGTAATATGACCAAAGCATGAAACATGATTATCTCTTCATCCTGGCTTCTAAGGAGTATTCTGGCTGTACTGTTCCAATACAGATTGATTGGTTCTTGTGGCAGTCCATGGTACTTTTAATATTCTTCTCCAACACCATAACTCAAATGCATCAATTCTTCTATGGTCTTATTCATTGTCCAACTTTTATATGCATATGAGGTGATTCAAAGTGCCATGCTTGGATCAGGCACACCTTAGTCCTCAAACTGACATCTTTGCTCTTGAACACGTTAAAGAGGTCTTGTATAACAGATTTGCCTCATGTAGTATGTTGTTTGATTTCTTGACTGCTGCTTCCATTTGTGTTGATGGTGGATTCAAGCTAACTGAAGACTTTGATAGCCTCAGTCTTATCATGATGTTATTTATCAGTCCAGTGGTGAGGATTTTTTTTTTTCTTTACACTGAGGAGCAATCCATACTGAAGGCTGTGGTCTTTGCTCTTCATTAGTAAGTATTTAAGTCCTCTTCACTTTTCAGCAAACAAGACTATCATCGGCATGTTTGGTCTTGAAATGTTCTTTTTGATGATGATTGTAATGTTATCCCTCTTGAATTTGTCATTCCCAGTACAGTGAACCATGTGATGGTCAGATTCAGAATGGCCAATACCAGTCCATTTCTGCGTTTATGCGTTCCATTTCATTTGTGACAGCTTCCAATTTTCCTAGCTTCATACTTTGTACATTCCGTGTTCCAGTTATTAATGGATGCTTGCAGCTGTGTCTCCTCAGTTTATGTTGTGCCCCATCAGCAAATGAAGGTCCCGAAAGCTTTACTCCATTCGCCTCATGGGTCAACTCTACTTTGAGGTGGCAGCTCTTCTTCCACAGTTGCATTTAGAGTGCCTTCCAACCTGAGAGGCTTATTTTCTGGTAGTTTCTCTAACAGTTTTCTGGTAATATTTATAATGCTTCAGTATTCAACATTCTGGTTCGTAATTTACGGTATTGTGATATTAGCTTTACTGCTGTGGTCTGGAACTGACTCTGAAAGATCTCCAAGGTCTGCCTGTGGTTTCCAGCCCCCATCGCTATACTCTGCTCCTTTGGGTAGATTTCCCCAGTTTTGCACTTTTATCCTCTAGCTTCTAGGCCTTCCTTTAATGGATGGTAATGTTGTCTACTGATAAGCTCTTACCAAGGCTTGTTATATGAAAATGCCTGCTTTTTACCCTCATTCTTTAAAGATATTTTTGCTAATTGTAGAACTTTTAGGATGGGAATTCTTTTCTCCAGCTATTGAAGGTCCTATCCCACTGTCTTCTGGCTTCCATTGGTGACGTATGTAAATTAGCTGTCAGAATTGCAGCAGGGTCCTTTGCCTTTGCCCTCTTAGCACTTTCCATCTTGAGCGTAGGTTGGCACCTGCCTTGTCAGCCCTGGGGTGGAGAGCAGATGGGGAAGCCAGCTGGGAGGGAGCAGTGTTGCTCCCAAGGCCACGCTGTAGCTGGGAAGTGCTGTGACCCTCCTCCTCTCTGGGCACTGTGGCTGACTTATTTACTCACTGAGAAACTTTGTTCTGTGAAATCATAGACTCTCAGAAACGTCGACGTTTGAAAGTTTATCAGTAAGAATGAAACATCCCACTATTGCTCAGAGGAGTGAAATGTAAAAATGGCGTGGTGGAAGCATCTGCCCTCTTCTAATTTTTCTAGTGGGGGAGAAAGAATCACCATGAGCATCAGTCCAAGGCTGGTTCCTGTGAGGTGCGGGTCAGACGTGCCTCTGCCCTGCAGCCTTTTCCCCGGTTCTGATACCAGCCTCCCTTCTGTGGCACTCTAGTTCTCTGTGGCTTTGACAATCATTACTGTGAGTGCACAGAACTTACTGACAACACTCAACAGCCCTGGCACTTTGCCCTGGCACTTGGCCCCTTTGCCCAGGCTCTGCCTTGCTTGAGTAAGTGTTATGAAGATCTTTAGCTCTACCAGTAAGTACCGAGAGGCACCCTACCCCACTCTAAACCTTGGCACGAAGGTGCTCATCTCTGTCTTCTGTGGGTTGTTGAGCCTAACTCCGTCAAATGCTTGAAAGACACTTCCTCTGCCAGCAAGCTCCTGGCCCAGGTGCTCAGCTTTGTCACACCGTGGCCGGGGGCCCATCACTGTCTCCTGTCTCCTGCTCATTCTGTTGGCTGCTGCTCTTCTCCCCACCTCCCCCCATCTCCAGTCTTACAACTTGCGCCATATTTCTCTGTCTCTTGGGTCCAGGAGGTTCCCAGCACAGTGAACCTGGGAACACTCGTCTCTTCTTGGTGATATTCAGATGCCTTCTCCAGGCCCACCCTCTACTCCTGAACAAACACTACACAGCCTATCCGGGATGCTCAGGGCCTCGTGCTCCTGACCACTACACAGACGGGTAGCAGCACCCAGGGAGGGCTGGCCGGGGGTGATGGTGGGAGCCCCCGAGGGGTGTAGTAGTCAGGGTACGGGCACTGCTGTCTGACACATACTGGGACAAGTGGACAGAGAGAGGGCCCCTGTGAGGGTGAAGCTTGGTGCTGTCGAGGACCACCTAGACACCACAGCAAGTATGCAGGGGCTCCCCTCCGTGGGCGCCCAGGTCTGCAGGCCAGCCACACGTAGAATGTTCCTTTGGGAGGGGGTTGGGCTCCAAGGAGGGGTTGTCTGCCTCCTACTGAAAATTATCCCAGCCCCCTCAGTTAGAATTGCCCCTAGAGTAGAACCCTGCCCGCCCCCCGAGAACTGACCTCGAGTGAACCATCACCCCCTCTGAGAATCACACCCCCATAACGGAACCTCGCCTATGCCTCCCAGAGTGGAACCCCACCCCTGCTGAGGACCCCCACCCCCAGAGTAAAGCCCACCCTGCTGAAGGCTCCGTTTCCTCTCTCCACAGATGAAGGCTGCCCTGACGGAGATCATCCAGCTCGCTACCCTGGATTCGGACCCCTGGGTCCTCATGGTGGCTGACATTTTAAAGTCCTTTCCTGACACAGGCTCGCTTAACCTCGATCTTGAGGAACAGAACCCCAACGTTCAGGATATTTTGGGAGAACTCAGAGAAAAGGGTACGTTACGCACCTTTCATTTAATGTCTGTCAGAAGGAGGGAGGTGTGTCCTTGTTTATACTATAATGTGGTGGACCTGTAGGAGTCACACAATCCTGTAAAGCATGGTGTGGTCTGAGGCACTCCCCTCCGCCCTGTGCTCCGCTCCCATCTCCAGCCTGCTTGCGTACTTGGTGTCAGTGTCTGCCCTGCCCTTTCTGGTTTCCTGGGCTCTAGCTGGGCAGGGACTCTGTTCACCGGGGGGTGCGGAATCACCGGGGCCTGCAGTGAGGTGCTTGGAGATGAGTGTGGAAATCCCCAGTTGAACCCCCTTAGAATCTGTTTGCAGATGGGTTTAAAGGCCATGTGCTGGGAGAACCCCGAGTTCCTCTCTTTTATTGGGTGTGTTGGGACTAACAGCACCCTCGGGTGCCCCAAAGTGCACAGACGCTTCTGGAGCCTTGTGCCAGCTTGTTTGACTCAGGACCCCAACGAGACCCACCCACCTTATGGGGCACCCGGTGCAGACCCCATGTCTGCAGCACTCCCAGAGAACCAGGGACTCGCTGTCGGCAGAGCGTGCGGGTTTTTCTTGGGGTGGGTTTCTGTAACTGGGTCTCCCAGGGTTGGTCCTGAGCTCTTGCTCCATGTGGGAGGTACCTGTTGTGGGTCTGGAGACCCCAGGGGAGAGCCCTTGGAAGATTCTTCCCATCACCCGGAGGTGTTCCTGGCCTCTGGGGAGCACTGAGCATGCTGCTCTTTTCGTGAGCACTGGCTCTTCACACCCACGGTGTTCCCCATCATAGGCCTCACAGACCCCCCACCCAGTAGCGCTGGCGGCCTCCAAGGACTCTGCTGACCCCACATCGGGCAGCTGCTCTTGACAAGCAGGCCCACTTTTAGGGCCTTGATTCCTGGCTGATGGGGAAGATGAAGTAGTGGGGAAGTCTGTCATGTGAACCAGTGAGGACACTGACCACAGCAAGGAAGGGCCGGGCTCATGCAAGCTACCATCCCTCCTGTGATGGGCTCTTAACGGCTGTGTTGGTTCTTAACGCACAGTGGGCGAGTGTGAGGCATCGGCCATGCTGCCCCTGGAGTGCCAGTACCTGAACAAAAATGCCCTGACCACCCTGGCTGGACCCCTCACGCCCCCTGTGAAGCACTTCCAGCTGAAAAGGAAGCCCAAGAGCGCCACGCTGCGAGCAGAGCTCCTACAGAAATGTAAGTGCCCGCGTCCACCTCGCTGCACATGCCCGGTCACAGGCTGGCCTCGTGTGCCCACCTCACATGCCTGCCTCGATTCACAACACCCATCTCATGAACTTGTTTCCTGTGTCCACCTCACACACCCACCTTTCCATACATGCCCAAGGCAGGGGGTCTGAGGAAACCCACAGCCATTTAAATCCCAGTTTCTTAAAGCTTTAGTTTTACAAAACTCTTTTTCACATTTGAAGGCACCTAGGTTGTCTTTTCAATCAGAGATTGACCCAACTTTTTTTTAGAAATTGACTGTTCTGTGAAATAGGGTTTCTGTGGAAATCTGCTTCCGGAACTTCTGAGTGTTCCAGTTAAGGGGTCCTCAGGCCTATGCCGGCTGAGTAGTCCTGTCCTGCCCCCTCCCAGCCAGCAGCAGGAGGGCCTGGCCTGGCAGCTCCCCACTCCTCTGACCGGCAGGATGTTTGGTCCTTCGGTTTAATGTTTTCCCAGATGGCAGCTTGTCCAGTGTGTGGGGAAGAGACCAAGGAAATTGACCCTTTGAACCCGTGTCACACCCTGAGCTCCCCGTGGTTTTGTTGTGAGTGGTGATGGAATGAATAGTAGACAGGGCATAGAGCAGATTTTGAAGAAAGAGCACAGCTGCTGGCTGCCTGTCCTGTTGACAGGGTCAGAAGGGCCTCCAGGCTCAGTGTGGCTCGGAACCCCAGGCCCAGGCCCCCAGCAACCTCTATGCCAGCTCCTCCTCAGACACCGTCACCAGGAGCTCGGCCTACCAGCAGCTGGCATTTACTGGGGTCTGTCCCCATTGTCACCCGCAGCAGCTGCTGCGGCCTTTAACTGTTCCTGAGCTGGGTCAGGACGCTCCCTCATTCCGCCCTGTGTCCAGTGTGTCGACAGGTGACTGCGGCTGCATGGTGTGTGGGGGTGCCTGCAGGGGTCATAAGTCGTTCGGGGGCGTGGCTTCCTTCTCATATTGCCCCTGCCTGGGACAGATGGGTGATGTTTGCGGTGGTCCTACGTCTGTCCACATGGCATTCGGGGAGCTCACTGTGTGGACGCAAGGCGCTTTCTCCACAGAAAAGCCAGCTGTGCTCTTGGAGCTTCCTGTCTGGCTCTCAGTGTTTGTGGAAACTGGATCTCTGGGTGTGTGTGTGTGTGTGTGTGTGTGTGTGAGTCTCACACTCAGAAGTGGGCTGGTGACACAGTGGTTACATGAAAGGTCAGTGGTTCAAACCCACCAGCTGCTTTGCAGGAGAAAGATGAGGTCTGCTCTGGCTTTGGAAACCCACTGGGGCAGTTTGACTCTGCCCTCGAGGATCACTAGACAGCACTGATCAGGTGTGGTCTCAGACTTGACCTTCACAGATGGCAGAGGCCTCTGTGGAACCAGCAGGTGCTGACACTGTGACCTTTGACCTTGTAGCCACCGAGACCGCCCAGCAGCTGAAGAGGAGTGCAGGAGTGCCCTTCCATGCCAAGGGCCGCGGGCTGCTCCGCAAGATGGACACCACAAGTAGGCTGGGTGGCCTCCGGGCGCTGGGTGTGGGGCCTGCCTGCGTCTTGTCACACTTGCTGTGGGAGCATCTGGTGGTGCCGAAAAGACCCTTGGGGCCAATTTCCTAAGCTCTTCTCTTCTAGCACAGTCCATGAGGAAGACCAGGCTGTGAGGGTCCCTTCTGGTCTTCCTCACAACTGGCTCGAGCTGGTCCCCTGACCACGCTGTGCTTCTGTGGGAAAGCAGAGGGTCCCTGTCCTTACACAGCGGCCACCCCTGGTGCCTCTGGACTGTTGGTTGGGTGTGGAGCTCAGCCCAGTTGGTCCTCAGTGGTGGTCTGAGCCAGCTCCTCTCTTGTCCCTTGGGAGCTGCATGGGTGGCTCTCCTGGGGACGATGGCCACAGCGGAAACAGGACACGTGTGGTGCCCAGGCAACTTCCTGTGACCGATGCTGTGGGAGGGAGGGAAGAAGGGAGGGAGGGGTCTCCTCACGGGGAATGTTGGGCGTCCATGACCGACTTTAATGTCTATCCCACCAGGTCAGGACTAGATTACCCCGGAGTGGCCTGTGTTATGTTGTTGTAGGATATATTCAGTCTTTGTTCTGTTCAGTATTTTCGTCAGCAGTGTCGTGGGCAGGCAGCCCCTGCTTCGAACCCAGTAGTGAATGTGGGGATAGGGACTTCATCTCCTGAGCCACAGGCATGAGTCTGAGGGGCTGCATCTTGGGGTCTGCCGGGAGGAGCAGCCTGCTTTGCCCATTATGGAGGGAGGGGGAGAGTGCACCCCTGCGAGGCTGCACCTGAACCCCTCAGACCACTGACAGGTCTGTGCCACTCCCCCGTCCACAGCCCCACTCAAAGGCATCCCGAAGCAGGCGCCGTTCCACAGCCCCACGACCCCCAGTGTCTTCAGCCCAGCTGGAAACCGGACCCCCATTCCGCCATCAAGGACACCGCTGCGGAAGGAGAGGGGTGTGAAGGTGGGCCTGCCATCCCTGCCCCCCTGCACCCACCCAAGCCAGCCCCTCCCACACCTACCTCAGACAGCCCAGCCCCCACCCCC